ATCTTCTTGATCAGAAACCCATGAAAGTTACAATAAACTAACTTTAACTCAAAAAATACCAAACTTCCCTCGGAAGCTCTAAAATTTAAACCAAGACCTTCCCTAGGCCTAAAATCATCAATTGAATCCAATGGAATTGTCGAAAATCCAATTTGAGCGTCCAAACTCTGAATGTTGACCAAAGTCAACCCTTGACTTAATTTCACTTAAACTTCCAACTCAAAGGCTCAATTCCACATAAAGACTCCAAAACTGAAAACGAAAACACTCATCGACCAAATTTCGCAATCGAGAGTTGATGGAATTGACAAAATTCCATTCTGAAACTCGTAGCTCCAATTGTTACTAACAATCACTTTTAAAAACTTCAACTCCAAAACTCTAAAACTTTCAAAAATCACAACTTTTCAATAAACCTTCAAAATGGACTTCATAAACAGATCAAACATGACTCCAGACCATAATCAAGAGGGGTAAAACTATATTTCTTTTAAATTTCCAAAAATGACCTTCAAGGTCATTAAATTATCCACCACTCAAAATCATGTTCCTCTCGAACATAAAGTAAAGGAAGGTACATGAAGCTTAAAAAAGTTGAGGATATCGGGCACACATTCCTCACTCTGTCTCTAAGGCAACCTCTTCGATCAAACGATGCTTCTACTACACCTTTACAAAAAGCAATTTGTTGAGGAGATTCTCGTTTAGATTCTTGATCGTTAGGTTCACAAGTTGAGGACCAAGGAGGTTGCATCAATCAAGGTCTTATGGAGAAATCAATTTATTAAGGAATTTACTTGAGAGGCCAATGAAGATGTGAAGAAGAGATACCAACATCTCTTTCCTTCCGGAGAAATTCCAAACCAAGGTATTAACACTTTGTAAAGTACTCTTTAAGTTGATGTGCTGAGTTTTGTTAATTGCATATTGTGTGCTTGAGTTGGGGTGGTTAGATGCTTTCCACCCTTGTTCTACTTAGTGTGATCTTATTTGAGGATGAATGCTTCCAATGGAGAGATATTGTATCACCTCGAACTTCCATCAGTTTTTAATTTTGGGTCAACTTCAGACCACCATATTTTTTAGCACATAAATAGTTAGGTGGTCCATGAGGTATCAAATCGAAGGTCTTTGATTTCTCTTTTCAATGCCACCAAGTTTGATAAATTTTGAGCTCCTAGTAAAAAGTTATGGCTGTTTGAGTGAAGCCTCTCTAGTTAAGATTTTTTCATCCGTTTGAGAAAGGGGTATTTTTATCTTTTCCTTACCCCACTACGCCTAAAACATTTTTCTCACCCAAATAAGGGTCTAATATGATTTAGAATAGTTTGAGAGAAGGGTTTCAAGAAGAGGAAAAGAGGGTTTTCAAGCGTTCATTTAAGGGTTGAGAAATTTCGCCAAGAACAAGTGTTCTTTCAAGGTATGTAAGCTTCTCATAGTGATGGACTTGTTCGTCCTCAATCCAAACATGTAATTCTTCCATTAATTCGTCCATGAGATCGTTTATAATAAGATTCTTGAGTAGTTCTTGAGTTTTGCCCCATTCCTTAACAATGGAGGTTTTGAGTTCTTGAGGTGATGGTATTGACAATGAGTGGTGTTTCTTGATAAAGTTTGGGTGGAATTTTGATGATTTTGTGTGGGGTTTGTAAACCAAAAAGAGTTTAGAAGAAATCACTCAATTCTAGATGAATTAGGACCCAAAAAATTGAAGAAAAAATCGTCAGATTTCTGGGCACAGGTGTGGGACGACGCGCCACCACTGTGCTAGGACTACTGGTCAGTAGTTTGGGGACTGACGCGGCATGCCAACAGTGCACCCCAAACACTGTCCAATAGTTTTGTGGTTGGTGCCCCGCGCCACTCAGTGCGCCAAGGTTACCAGGTTCTTTTCTTTTCTGTCATTCATTCCTTATGTGTTCTTTCAAATCGTGTCTACGTTCTCATCTTAGTATGAACTCTTAAAGTCTTCATTAATCCTTGAGAGATCCTACATGTCATAATCACATGTCTTAATTCACATTTCAAATTAAAGTAAAGTTAAGAGGAAAGTCCAAGAAGTTTTTTGAGAACTCTTTTGCAATTAACTATAGTTTTGAACTAAATCTTGAGTAAATGAGTATGAGAATGAGAAGAGTTGTATTTCATTTTTCAAAATGAGTATAGGGGAACTAAGTATTCCTAAATGTAATGCTTTACATTTTCGAAGAGAAAAACAACGATTTCTAAATGAGTTATGAGTTCAAAGATGTTTTCAGAGCATTACCTCTTTCAGAGGATCTTTTGAGTAATTACCTCGAATTCAGAAAGAGTTATGTTTTACACATTTGAGCATGAGTTATATATTATTGGGAGTAGTATTAAGCACTGATATGGGGATGAGTTCAGACAACTCAAAATTCTCATAAACCATGTATGCCAACATGGGTAAATGATTAAACTTTTAGATGATTCCTTATTGCTTTTAAGCATAGCTTAGTGGATCCACTTAGTTGAGGTGTTCTATACCCCGACAAGGTATATGACAGTTTTGGCAGCGTGGGCGAGACGTTGTATCATCACATAGCTCATAATGATGGTTGTCGGTTAAAGAATCTCTCAAATAAAAGTAAAAAGTACATTATTGTATTTTTTTACATCATTGAGTTGATATCTACTATTTTAAAAACTTTAAATATTGCATCTCTTATTGATTGCTTTTGAAAAAATTTATCATGATAGAGTCCCAACCAACAAAAGGTGTGTGAGGCTCCATTAACTTTTTGACATGTGGATAAGTAGGTCATTTATCTACTTTAAAGCAAAAATGCTACCACCAACAAGAGAGAGAAAATATATTTACATAATAAATTGAGTTGAACAAATATAAAAAAATGCAAGAGAAATAATACGTGCATTTGCTGCTTTTCTTCTTTTTTAATTGTTCATATTATATTAATTTTGAGATTACATTGGATATATTATTATTATTGTAGTTTATGTTAGTTTGAAGAATTTTTATAAACCTAGAACAAAAATAACAAAAGTAAAATAAATTTTATAATTAATCTCAATCCCATCAGAAATAATACATTTCACTAAATATATAATAATAAAATAAAAAATAGATTGTGAATCCACATTTTATACTTGTTGAAAAATTAAATTTTAAATTTTCTTTCCTAATATTTTTATAAAATCAAAGGATGGTAAATCAAAACTACATATTTTGACGTTCAAACTGAATCTGTAATTTTTTATTTAAAAAAAAAAAAAACATTTTTGTTGATGTTAGAAAAAAAGTTACACCAATGTTGAAAAGAAATAAAGATTAATTTTTCAGATCTTGATTTTCTCTCTAAATCTAGCCATCTTTAACTTAAATAAATCATTATTTAAAAAATTAACAAAAAATAAAATATTTTTTTAAAATAAAATAAATTAAACGTATTCCACAAAATTTTAAGTACTATTTTATAAAAAATAAAATAATTAAAAGTAGAAAAGTAACTGCGATGAAAACAAAACTACAAATTATATTACGTAGAAAAGAAACCATATCAAAATAAATTTGTCAAATCAACATATAACTACGTAACATATTCAATATAATCTCAAAATATTAAAACAAAGAAGAAGTAAACCCACGTTTTAATTTCTCTTGCATTTTTTTTATATATATGTTCAACTCAATTTATTGTGTAAATATACTTTCTCTTTCTTGTTAGTGGTAGCATTATAACTTTAAAGTAGATAAATGACCCACTTATCCATGTGTCAAAAAGTGAATAGAGCCTCACCCACCTTTTGTTGGTTGTGCCTCTACCATATTAAAATTTTTCATTGCTTTCATATTGAGTTGGGTTGAAGTGAGTATTTCTTCCAGCCTTGTCAGTCCAATCAACTATTGCTTTCAGTTTTCCCCTTACATGCTCGTACATTCAATGTACTGACGTCATTCGACCTACATCTTTTTATGATGCAAATACAGGTGTTTAGGGTCATCAACAGGCGCTTCGTTGATACCATTTGCATTCCAGTTAGCTTTGGTGAGCCTCCTTGCTATCCAAGGGTTCCACATTTATATTTCAGTTTTGTTAACATGTCGTGGGTCTTGTCCCGATATCTCTCGTAGTATTTAGAGGCTTCATAGACATTAGTAGTTGATGAGTCTTTCACTATTTCCTTTGTGATGTTTCGAGACTTGGAGTCAAATCGTGTATGTTTAACTAAGCATTTCCAGACATGTTTGAGTTGAGTTATTATTGACACATTATGAGTTAATTTTGGTAATTGGGATCCCCATTTTATTTGAGTAAGTCTTCCACTTAGTAGTCAGTCAGGCCAATCATTCGCCTAAGGACCATCGATGGTTCTCGAGTGCCGGTCACATCCAGGATGTAGGTTTGAGGCGTGACAAAAATTATTAGTTTGAATTCCATTGACAAGGACAACGATGTTGGAAGTGCTAATACAATTCATAATAAAATTAGTAACTTTAGGAGGAAATTTAAAGTGGAGAAGGATTCGATACACAAATGACCATTCAAGTCGATCAAAAGCTTTCTCAAGATAAATTTTTAATATAAGACGCCCTTCCTTACTCTTGGTCCGTTTGAGATAAGATATAAGTCCTTGAATTAGGATGACATTATCACAAGCCACGTCATTTGAGGAAACTAGTTTGGTAAGGGACTTAAGATTGATCAAGTTCTTCTTTTTTTTATGATTTGCATTTAGAGATAAAATACGAGAATGTATTTAAATCAACATAAATATATTATATCGATATTTAATTTATTTTTTATTCATATATGTATAATATCAATTAAAATTTTGAATATGTATATTTAATTTAATAATAATAAAAATTAAATTAATTTTTTTATAATAAATATGTAAAATAATTTCCTTATAAAATAATCTTAATATTAAAAATTACATTAATGGTTATCATTTTTGGTAATTTGATCCTCAATTTTATTTTATTTTAAAAACTAGTGAAACACAATATGCTGTTTTTGATGAGCTAGTGGATATGGTGAAGGGGGATGTTCATCAGTCAAAATCCAGCTATGGCAAATTACAATTGACCCACCAAAATATCTCTGAGTTTCAAATTTTTGCTATGTGGGGAGTTGTTACCCAGAAAAAATAATGCTCAAAGCTATACAGATTGTCGGTTCATCTTCTGGGTTTGTTTCCTATAGATTCAGAAAGCCTCAACCCAATTCTGCCTTCTCCTTAATTTCAAGAAAACCCATTCTCACAACAACTGAAACTTTGTTATTACCGGCTTCTCAACTACATAGTCACAAGTCCTGTTTTAGAGATTTTCGAATGTCTTCTACTCATTCAAAGTCATCCTCTTCTTCATCTGTTGCAATCCAGTCAACTGTAAGTTGTTGTTGTTACAACTGTGCACTTCTTTTGATATTTTTTTGATTTACTGAAATTGTTGACTCTAAAGTGTTTGATTGTGTGATTTCTGGTCCCATTTTGCTTGACTGATTGTTCTTTATATGTGGAGTTGCATTTTGGAATGGGATTAGATTACTTGAAATACTATAATTTGTTTGGGTAGGTATGAATCAATTAGCTCTTTCACCTCTAACACAAATAACATAGGTGCGTTAGTGGGTGAAGAAGATAGTTTAATTCATAGGACAATTATAAAGCCACCTATCTAGACTTTGATCTTGATGATGCCCTCTGGGATTGGAAATCCCACCCCATCAGCTTTTACTTGATGGGTTTCTCTTTTTTGGCTAGCTAGCTCAATCTTGTTTACTTTATAGTTTCTCCACATTGTTGCTTAATAATTGTTAAATTAGGTCTTAGGCCTGACTCACCCCAAAAGTTAGCTCAAAGGGAATAAGATTGTTCAAGCCTTATAAGGAGTCCACCCATCTCATTAACTACCAATGTGAGACTTTTGTCACTCTTTAACAATAATCAAGTGCCTATTTTGATTTGTTGCTCAAACATTACCAAATGTAAGCCGGATATCAAATCTTCAATCTATATCTGCTTTATCTTCTGCTCCCTTCCGGTGCTTAGCATCTGGTGCGTGGGCAATTTTGATTTTGGGGGCCCAACATTGGGTGAGATGGTCCTGCTCTGATACCATGTTAAATTAGGTCTTAGGCCTAACTCACACCCTAAAAACTAACTCAAAGGGAGGAAGATTGCCCAAACCTTATAAGGAGTCCACCCATCTCATTAACTACCAATGTGAGACTTTTGTCACTCTTTAACAATAATCAAGTGCCTATTTTGATTTGTTGCTCAAACATTACCAAATGTAAGCCGGATATCAAATCTTCAATCTATATCTGCTTTATCTTCTGCTCCCTTCGAGCAAAACTAGACATCCTAAGTCCAGATAGCCATATACTCTGCTGTAAAAAGCCTTTGAAAACATTGATGCAAACAACCATGTAATCTGTCCTTCAATTTTTGTCTCTTGGAAGTAGTAAGCATCACCTTTCCACCCATGTATTAATTTTTATATGATACACCTCTTGCTTGCCTAATTCAGGCCCCTCACATTCCATGATACTATGGTGACTGTCATTGGTCACATGTTATATTGTAACCCCCCCTGCTTCTTGTGCCATTGCTTCCACACTCATGGCTCTTCAGTTCTTGGGATCCCTTTACTGCCAGAGTCATTTCCATGTACTTCTCTTCCTTATTCACTTCTTTTGCCTCATGCTATCTATCTTTATAAATAGTATCGTTGCTTCCTCTTTGCACCCCTTGATACCTGTACCGAACTCTTTGGAGAATTTGATGATGTTCTGATGTATCCATGTAGGGATATCAAAGTCTGGATTTTCTCTTCCCCCCTGGGCTATGTTGGTTTAAAGGTATTGCATCTTCAATTGTTGTCAAGCTGGAATTGTTTTCTTCACTTCTCAGCATAGCAGATTCTTGCATGCCACTATCTTCTCAAGGTTGAGGGATTTCAGAAATTTCTTGATTCTTTACCGTCGCTTCCTCTTCTTCACTCTTTTCATGAGTTGGAAATATTGGCTTCAAGTTCGACTGATATTGAGTCAATTAAATGAGAGGAAACTTTTCCTTCTAATCATAGGCCTGTTTCTCTTGATTGGAGTGGAAAGTAGGACCTCAGCCACGCATGCCTTGTCACGTGCTGGGACAGCTGGCCAATTCAAAATTTCAGGGTCATAGGAGGAACCCACGTGCCCTGCCACCTCTGTAAAGCCTAAAAGGCTTTCATCTTCTAGTCCACCAGTTCCTTCATCAGACCTCTGGATCTTTGGATGTTCTTTGCTGCCTGCACCGTAAACCAACCTTGTCGGCGTCACAACGCAGATTGGGACTTTGAAGGTTAAATGTTCATGTACCAGCTCGACCGAGTTCGGAACAGAGTCGCTGTCTCCTCTCACCTTCATCCTTGCCCAATTGAGGTGGTTTTGCCGTTTTGTAACTCTGTTTCTTCTTCAGTTCTAATCCAGCCTCCGCATAAGTTTCCTATCTCATGGAAAATTTTATGGGACCAAAGTTGGAGGGGCAAGCCTACTACTCTGATCCAGACCTGGTTCGGCCTATCATGGATGAAAGTTGATGTCAGCGACCACCATTGTAGGTTGAACTTGTCGGATTTCCAGAACCACTTCCCTCTTACAATGTGGTCTGCAGCTGGTTCGTTGGGAAACTCAAAGTGGAAACGGTTGCGCCCCAAATCGTAGATGTTGATTCCATGCTTGTGCTTCCAAGTGCTTGCCACCCACCGTCAAATCTCTGATAGAGAGGCATATGGAATCTCCTCTGGGAGACATCCAACCATGCTTTTTGCTAGTAGTTCATTTTGATTTGTTTTTGTCGCATCTGTAATAACGATCGATTTCCCTTTTTGTTGAATCTTTGTAGCATTTATTCTCTTGTAGACCATTTATTGTTTCTGACAGTGTGGATATAAGAGACCCTCTTCTGTTTTCCTGTGCCACATCTTAACTTCCTTCTGGGCCTTAGCATTTATGAATTCGTTATTTTGGTAGCTATGTCTATCCATCCTGTGTTTTAGCGACTACTCGGGGATGATGATGACAACTCTTCTCTTACCCTTCATATTTAAAATGCTAACGTATCGACCATATTTGTTATAATTCCTCGAGCAGAAGAACTCTGTGAACAAGTCCCGAAACTTCCATCTACGGACTAAATTCCCCTATGCTTCTTTAAGAGCGAATGCTAGCCACTCCATCGTCTTCTAGATAATACTCATCGTGGTCATCATGTTACGACCTCATTCTACCTAGTCTTACCATGTTTCATCCCCTAGAAACTACTATGGTAATATTGTAAGATTTGAATCCTACAGCAAAATAAATGGTATTGTCCCCCATGGCTGTAACAAAAAAAGAAAGGTTGGAAAGGAGTGGGGTTGAGGGAGGTTCTAGCAATGCAAGATCGCCGGAAAAGGGATTTTAGGGGCCCAGGAGGGACCTGTAAAAGTTTACCTTGGGTAATGTGCCTGGGAGCATTCCGACTGGAAGTGATTTAATCTATTTACTGATCCCTTTTATTGTCAATATGTCATTAGAAAATATTATAAAGCAACAAGCTTACATTTTCCCAAAAAGTCCTGCAAAAACTTTGATGTAAATATACTATCTGATGAAAAATACCTTGTCACATCCTAACATCAACCTAGTGGTCAAAACATGCATACTTGTCCAAAATGGAAGGCAATATGCAATCAGAAATAAATGGAAGTGGCTTCTTATTGCGCATAGCATTCTTCTAAATGCTAGCATGCCTATGATTCTAGGTATCTGATATATAATTGGCTGTCCAAGTTGAAATAACCAAGATCTGTTATGAACTGAGGCATTCAGCTGGAGTTTCTCTCTCCTCTTCTCTTCAGCCTCATCTTGTGTTTCTCTTCCTATAAACATTTTTTGCATGCCAGTTGTGAGGACTAATGAACCTTGAGCTTGTCAACCCAAAAGGTTAGCTTACATGTGAGGATTTCCCAACATCATATAAGGACATGAAAACTCATTTCTTCAATCAACATGGACACTCTAACACCCCACCCTGCACGTCCGAGGGCTGGACATTTGAAGTATGACTAAAATAACATGGGGGTCCAACATTATGTAAACCAAGTATAGGAATGAGTCAGATGCTAATACCATTTGAAGGAAAATGAACTTGGGCATAACTCAACTCCAAAAGTTAGTTCATGAGGTGAGACTTGCCCAACATCATGTAAGGTTTTAACAATCCCTCTCTCAACTAATGTGAGATACTCTTTAACACCAGCCAATTTTTTAAAAATTTACCTATATGTTATTTAAATAGATCTGAGAGTATTTTGTGTTTCATAAATTGTTCAAGTTCCTTTATCTTTTTCTTGATCAATTTCGGTTCAAAGATTCTGCAGGGAAACATTCGCAAGATCAACTTCTGCCAGTTTTGTGGGGGCCCAAATAAGCATGAGATACCTGATGGTGAAGAAAAGGTGAGAGCTATCTGCACTCGTTGTGGGAAGATTACCTATGAGAATCCAAAAATGGTAAGATTTTCATTAAGCTTCACTGTCTGAATTTCCACTTGTATTTCCAAATCAAATGCAAACTAATCATTGTATTACTTCTTGCAATCGTAATGATCACATTATTTTTCCTTTGTCTTTTCATTGCCTACATGTTTGGTGGTTAAATTTCAGTATTGATGGTTAAATCTGGGAATATTTATTTTTGTTTAGAACCAGTTTATAATCACCCAGCCAAATCATTTTGGTGACCATGGTTCAATTATAAAGTCTATGGTTTGAATTTGTTTATTATTTTATTTTTGGTTTCAATACGAGGGACACTTTCAAATATGTATACACCTAATCATATCCAAAGGTGTAGTATAGTGGTCATTGAGGTGAGTGCAAATCTTAGAGATCAGGGTTCAAATCCCCGTTGAGACAAGAAAAACACTAGATTATTTCTTCTCTATCCGCCTAAGATTTGGAAGTGTGCCACATAATCTACTATGCTTCTTTTCATGTCGTTCCACTAGTAGACCTCTTTAAGGTCATGGCTTGTCTTCGTGGAACCAGGATGAATAGAATACCATGGGCAAGGTGCTTCACTCATAATCTTCTCTTGAAGCCCTTCATATTGGGAACACATAAGTTACCTTCAAAAAAAATAATATTGGGAATACATAATCTATCTTGGCACCTTAAGGTGCCATCTCTTGCGAGCTCAAATCCCGTGACTCTATGTTGACGGAACCCCTCTTTATACTGAAGTAACAAGGGGTCATCACACTTTTTCTCTTTCACTGTTGCTGTTAAGAATGACTTTGTAGTATACTGGACAACTACTTCACCATCTTCAGAGTCCATGAGTCGGACTCCTAAGCTTGCTAATCTGTTAATGTCTTTGACTGCCTGTTTCTTTTCTGCTGGCAAATGTGCTAGACTCCCCATATACAGTTGGCTATAGGTGATTTGATAAATTTGATTGGCAATAATTTGTTTGTTTATTCATAGTCTCCCCCTACTTTTGCTCTCATGAATCTAAGATTGTAATTACCTTTTGGTGTTGAGTCTTCTTGTATATATTCAAATGGTTGCCTCTTCAAAAAAAGAGGAGGTTTTGGCCTTACATACCTTGATTCCAATCATTAGTGTATTACCATGATCAATTACTCCTTTGCAGCTTCAATCTACCAGAATGATGATAATAACACTAATATAAGCAGCAAATCAAGAAGCTCGGCCAGTTACACAGTTTGACAAACATTTGATTAGCGACAAGCTCACAAAGTTCTCAATTTATGACATTCTTCATACTTAAGCTTTCTTTAGAGACAGTCCAAAATATGAAAGAACAAATGCCAAATGAAATCCCTAAGCCCCAATTTATTAAACAAGAGTTTTGGGCTTTTGGCTGCCATGTGTCCCACATGCAATTTGCGCTGGTTCGTAGTAAAACATGCACAACTTTTTGTAATGAAGTCAGGTTGACGAGCGTTTGTTTCGTGGGAAACTAGATTCAAACACCTCTAATTTGATATAATGATCATCACATAAATCCTCATTGTCTAGGAGATATACTCTTTCAAAGTTGACCTTTTCGCGGCACGTAAATGATAAACCATTCGTAGTCGCGTTTGGCTTAACTTAAAACATTAAATCTCTTATGAATCTGTAACCTTGCAACACTATAATATACTGACCCTTAACTTATATACTCATTCTTGACCTTGTAATCCCGTGGTTGGACCAATTCGTCGATGTTAGACTAGTCGTACTTGAACTTAAAGGCACAGGGTATAACAGTTAACCCTGAGTATGTACTAGTGGGAGATAGTAGGTATCTGGTGGAATAGTCGAGGTGCGTGCAAATTGGACTTTACCATCATTATAAACAGATAATAGACCTAACTGCACCTAGTAATCAATATAGAACGTATGGCAAGATGCTGCAGTGCAGCACAAGTTTTTGCTTGGTCTTTGTAATTCTGATGTTAAAGAGACTATCCAGACCCTGTATTGTTTTATTTTGTATTTTGGATTAATAGTTTGGGAGCTTGCTAAACTTCAGGTCGTTTTTTCACGGGGAAACAGTTATGGTTATTTTATCCATTTGAGCTGCACACCTCCAGGAGGGATGCTCAAGCCGCTCTCCGAGAGCAGCCCTCCACGGAAGATTCTAGTTGTTCACTAATATGAACCTCATGGAGTATAGTTGTTCTAATTGTAAACTTTGGGGTCATAAGACCAAAATTACTCTTTCATAGTAGCCACATGAATTAACATTGTTCTTTCTTCCGTTGTTGGTATTATTATTCATTTGTGCAACACACATCAAGCCCGGAGCTTTCTCCTGCTTCTTACTAAGGGGGTAATATTTGTAACTGTTTGTTCTCAAATACAGGTTGTTGGTTGCCTTATTGAGCATGATAAGAAGATATTAATGTGCAGGCGGAAAATTCACCCATCATATGGACTTTGGTATGTGTCTGCCAACAGAGTTTAGTGAGAAGGGAGGACTTTCACTCACAGCCTCCTAAGGAAGTTCTCTATTAATTCCCAGCATTCAGAAATATAGAGAGTACTGAAGTAATTCAAATTCCAGTATAGTAAAGTTTATCTTCAAATAATGTTGTACTGGTAGGACGCTCCCAGCTGGCTATATGGAGATTGGTGAATCTGCTGCTGAGGGAGCAATTAGGGAAACCTGGGAAGAGGCAAATGCAGAAGTAGAGGTTCAATCACTTTTTGCTCAATTGGACATCCCTCTTATAGGCCAAGTTAGTATAAATTCTTGAAGATGGTATTCACCTACTATGAATTATGTCCGATATTTGATGATAATTATTTTTTCCTCCTCTTTGCAGACGTACATGATTTTTTTGGCGAAACTGAAAAATCCCCACTTTTCACCGGGTCCAGAATCATCAGAATGTCAGCTTTTTGAACTTGATGATATTCCTTATGATTCTTTAGCATTTTCATCAATGCTAGTAACCTTGAATCTGGTAAATTTTTATGCTACATGGTTAAATATTTAACTTTATAGAACATATATGTATGTTCTGTGTATATATGTGTGTTCATTTGCTTGCTCGCTCTAAATTTAAATTATTTTATCTCTGTTATTTCATGTCATTGTAGTACATAGAAGATATTAAAGTTGGAAGACCGAAGTTTCATTATGGCGTCATTAACAAGAGGTATGTTGGTCATCCCATATTATAGTCTTCACTTAGTTCTAAGATCCTCTGCGAAGCTTTAGTAATTTGTTGTTATGTTGCTAAAACTCTTCAAAATGATTGCCTCACCCGTATCGACACAACATGGATGTGAGTGTGGGTGTGAGATCCACATAGGATTTGGTCAACTTACCTTGGGTACTTTGACTACATCTATGGGTGAGAAGTATAGATTAATTGCGTATTTGGTTTGTATTTTGGGTTTATGTCATATACATATAGTTATATATGGTATGAGCATGTTTTGCCATTATATCTTATTCTTATGAATAAAATATTACTCCCACTATCCCAATTTATGTGGAATCCTTTCCTTTTCAGTCGGTCCAAAAAGGAATATGACTTTTCTATAATTAGAAATAACTTAACTTCAAAATTTTCCTTTTACCCTGATGAAATGATTTATAGTCAACAAATGTCTCAGGTTTGTTTTAGACCATATATTTCAAAAGTCTTTATTTTTTTCTTGAACTTTGTGCCAAGCCAAACGGTGCCACATAAATTGGGACGGAGGGAGTAGGTGCTTATAAAGAATCAAATTTTTATGAGTTTTAGTTCACTAGCTTTGATTAATTGAGATATATACTTGTATGTTATAATATACATTTATTGGCCATATCCTAACACCCGTATCCGCACTCGGATACATACCCCCAAATCCTAAAATTTATGTGATGGGGAATTTGACCTTGAGATCCACACCTGTATTGTATTTCTGCACCTGAGTCCAAGCAACTTAGGTCTATTGTTCTAAGTATGCTAGATATGTCCTATTTAAACGTGTATGACAATAGAACGGAGAGCACTTTCGATTTGAATAGTATTTATAGCTCAACCAATAAGATGAAATGTCATTTGTTTGAAGAAGTAACTAATAGGAGAAATCCCAAACTGTGAATGTTCTTTTTATTTGCTGTGCTGCATAGGTGCTGTATCTTTCTTTCTTATATTTGGTCACTAGAGTCTTGGCTAAGACCTGTCTGTATATTTCTCATTTTTCTGGAGAGGCTCCACTATCAGTCTTCTGGTTATTAGCAAGCTGTGTATTGTAGGTATACTCGACCATCTTGTCTTTAAATATCCTTTGACTGGAAAAGAGAGAAGATCCTCTAATAGTAACTTGATTAACGTTAGTACTATGAGTATGCTTTGCACTGGTGATGGTTGTGCATTTTTACGCTTGCCCTTCAAATTTATTTCTCAATTCCTTGGCCTTAAAATTATTTTCTCACTTCGTTGAGCTTCAGATTAAGTTCTCTGAAATTGCAATTTAATTTATCTGTTTGGCTTTCTTTGCAAGACTAGCCCCAACTCTATGGAGCCACATTTGGCCCCTCTTCCTATCCTAATCTTTGGTGAAGCTTAAATTAGTGTAGAGTAGTTACCTGTCTCCGTCTATTAAAAACAGGCAAGTTCATGTTTCCATTTCTTTTTAGCTCCTTGGATTGGGATGACTTAAGCTGGTAAGGTACCCATTTGCTTCTTCTAACATTTATTAGAACTCTGGATGTGATGAGCACCCAAGAGTGCAACCCAGCTGTCAATGAGGTGGGAGAAAACCTTGGAGACCAGGGGTCAAATCCCAACAAAGACAAATAAACCTAGTTCATTTCCCCTTGTCTTTCTAACCTTGGTTGACAGAGTTACTCGATACCTATGCTGGTGGGAGGACAGGTACTGGTGGAATAATTGAGGTGCACACAAGTTGGCTCCGATACAACTACTATCCCCCCCAAAAGGATTGGATTGACATGCATGCGCAGGCTGGCTCAAACACCACTATTATCTAAAAAAATAAGCAAATTGGATTGACATGCATTGCGTTGTATATAACCCTATCTCTCAGTGGAATAATATGTATCTGTCAGATATAGGGTAACACGTTTCGACCTTGGAGTAAATGTCTCAAACAATTTGACTTTCAAGTTGAGATGCATGTTATTACTCCCCCATTATTCAGTTCTTTTTAAATACTCCCTCTGTCCAACAATACTTGTCCACTATTGACTTTGCACACTTCTTAAGGGATAATTTTACTACATCATCCTTTGAATATAATAAATACAAAATGACTATAATTAATGATAGGGTAAATTAGGAACTAAGTGTAAACTTATCCATTGATTTCATAAAGTGGACAAGTATTGTTGAACATCCCAAAATAGTATAGTGGACAACTATTGTTGGACGGAGGGAGTATTAACTTATTTTCCCATTTCTGATGCTTGACTTAAAGGGTTGAGCTTTTGCTGAAAACTAGGATGTTTGAGAGTTAAAGCCTAAAATAGTTAGACCTGGAAAGGTGTATCTGGCTGTTGGTGCTTGAAAGTTGAAACTGCACTACACTACACTATGGCTCTTGGCTTTTTTTCTGCCAAGAGCTTTTCTTTAAACTGTATTTCCTTATTCTTTTCCATTGCTTTTGTGTTTCCAGGCCTGGAACAAGCCCTTCTGAAATCCATGCTTACACACTGGATTTTCATATGCAATCCTGAGAAGCAGATACATTATTTTCAGGCACCAGAACGCGGTTGGTATGTTCATCAAGATAGAAAGAGCTCCGGTGTTTTCATCAAAGCTTTAGTTGTGTACTTGTGGTGATAGTTCCATTCTTTCTAATCAATCATCTAGTAGTAAAAGTCTTCCTGATTTGAGTTGTTCAAAATTGACTTATGATGGGTGCAGACTGAAGCTTAAAAGATGGGACACATCCACATTGAATTCATTATAAAATTTACATCAATTGTGGCAACTGATACAAGAATTAATAAGCAATGAAACACATAATATATCCAACCAAACAATGTTAACTTATCAAATAGTAGTACCAATTTAATCTGGATTCATATCAGGTGTGACAAGTCCTGAATTTTGGGCTGGATAATGACCAGAAATCCCAAATGAAAAATAATACAAAGTAACCTAATAAAAAATACAACTCCCCCTATCCTACTTTATATGACTTACTTTCTTTTTAGTCAGTTTAAAAAAGAATAACATATTTCTATATTAAGTAACAATTTAACTTTAAAATGCTCATTTTACCCTTGATTAAATGAATTATAGTCACACAAATATCAATTATTTATTTTAGACCACAAATCTCAAAAGTTTTTCTTTCTTTAACTCCATATCGAGTCAAACTAACTCATAAAATGGGACGGAGGGAGTATATAATAAGAATAATAATAACTGTGATGAGGAAATAATTTAGCAAGTAGTCTTTTGATGATTTATGCCTGCCTAGATGAAGGTATAACTGGATTTCTCTTTTCACCATTAAAGAAGTGGACTCCACTTATTGGATTGCAACTGTACAAAGTATGCATATATATTTTTTATAGAGATGCATACTGTAGTGGTGGAGCAAAAATAAGAATTTACTTTAACTAAATACAACAAAACTTGTCTTATGCTGCTCTCTTGTTCCTTCAAGTTAATTCGCTATCAATTTTTTCATATTTTTATAATATTCCCTCAAAATTCACTTCTTGTAATCCAAAAGGAGAAGAGGGGGAAGAAAACACAACTATTTCAGTGAACAAAACCAATTCGAATATTGAATCAAACAGCAAATTGAAAAACAAAATTTGACTAGTGATTTGATTTGACTTGGTTTGGTATTAAATAAAAAAATTCTGATTATACTTGGGTTGGTTTGGTATACAGACTGTACTTGGGTTGGTTTGGTTTTAACTAAAAAAAGTTAGTCCGAGACCAAAACAATCCGATATTATATATATAAATTACTTTGATATAATTTATAAACATTTCTTATATTTTTCATAGTTTTAATCTTTTAACATATTATTTCATGTTTGAAACTTTAGAATTTTTAATGGTCCAATAAAGATTATAATCCGTAGATATTCGTAACTCTAATAAAGCTCGAATCAAAATCAAATCAGTACTAATGCTAATAAAAAATCAATTCAATACTAAGAATGACAATAATATTGAAGAGTTGTTCTTTAATTTTACATTGGTTTAGGTAATTAAAATAAATAACCTAATTCAGATGTAGTGAGGATCCAATGTGAGTATAGGATATTGGGTGAGAAATCAATAAAGAAAGTCATGTAATTACTACTTATTAGACTTATTTTTGCATGATCTAGTACTTTGAATTATGATTAGTTTTTATGACCTATTAATTTCCAATATTTGTTATATGCAATTTCATTATTATTTTTTGTTATTTTTTGTCATCACTAATCTCATATTTTGTGTTATTTTCTTTTAAAAGACCTTAGATGATTGTATTTTGGTAGGACTAAAGATATATTTAAAGTACAAGTTAATTATATGTTTGATACTTTATCGGAAGGACCCGAAAAAAATCGAGGTTAAAAAATCCAAGTTTTATCAGTTTGATTTGGTTTATAGATTTTAAAATCCGATAATAATGATTTGGTTTGGTATTTGAAAAATCCAACTCAACCTGTTCATTTGTTATGAATGAGAAGGGGAGCTAAAATGAAGGATTTTTTACATGAATAATATATTTTATTTGATTAATTATGCTTTTAAGTGTTACTTTATTTTTATTACCATATATGACAGAATTTTAGCTTTGATAACCATTTGATATAAATATGTACTAAAGTTTAGGAGAGAAGAATCAGAGAACAACATAATTGTACTCACAAGATTCATAAATAAAAATCACATTTATTTATTTTGCTTGCAGTTAATTTTTGACGTTTACGAAAATTCGTTGCGAACATGCACATATATGAGTATATAACTCGTATAGTACTTTTCTCAATAATCATAATGTCCATATCAATATACATTCATATCATGAACATACATAAACTAATTTTTCAGAATATATGTTACCCTACATATACATAGCACTTTTTAAATGAACTACATAAAAGTGAAAATGCTTAATGAAAACAAATAAAATACACAAATAAAACATCAATTTTTAAAATATAATAACAAAATAGTTTATTTAAGAAATTCACTTGATGATCATTCATATGGTAAATCTAAATAATAAAAACATATAAAGGAGGAAACTTCTAATAGTTTATTTGTTAATACATACTGAACTGTATTAACAATAGTACAATTGGATTTTTAAAAAATATGCTCCTACATTATGTTTAGATCACCTATTCTATTGGAATAGGCTACGCAAACAAAGCTCGAAAGGACTTAGAATCTTCAATGGAAACAATCTTCTGTTTAGTTCCTTCCAATTGCTTCTTCAACAATAAGAGTTGATTCAAATTTTGACATTGTTCAACATCTATATCCTCCACCCAATCACGGAGACTTTTCCTTCTCGGAGTCAATGATGATCTGAACTCTGAGGATCCACTAGAAACAACAACATCAGAATCGGAATCATGAAAATATATCCCTGATGTTGATTGTTTCATGCAATCAATGTTCGAAAAATGCCTGTTGATAGCAGTGTTAACGTCTCCGTAAGTACAAGTCTTTCCACTGGGTGAAAGAACAACAGAGGCAACTTGAGAACCAGTCAAGGATTCAAGTTCTTCATTTTTCTTGAAAAGTCCTTTCCTTCTTTTGGAGAATGTCACCATTCTAGAACTTTTCTTTGTAATTTTCTCGATCTCTATTTTCTTTTTTCCTGTGCCCATTCTCCTTAATCTCCTCTATGTTTTTGTTCTTCTTTAAAAAGTAGATTTTTCTTTGAAATTTGGGATGCTTTTTAGGTTTGATGTCAGTGTTTATTTATAGGGAGAAAATCACATACCGTTTAAGTATAAACATTGGTAGTTACCTATTGAAAATTGGTAATTACCTATTGAAAATTGGTACTTTCCTATTGAAAATTGATAGTTACCTAAATTTTGTGTGTATATATAGACTCTAATCCATTCTAATAGAAGGAAGGTTCACCAGTATTTTGTGAGGTTTGACTTATGAATTGTGATTATATAGTAATTGGAATTTGGAAGTATGAAAAATATACAAAAAGGATGTCGAATTATTTTATGTTAAAAGGATGATAAAATTATCAAAATGGTCCTTCATGGTCATTCCTTAATATACTTGATTGAAATGGTTCTTAATATATAATAAAAGTGCTCGTTTTGGTTCTTAATATATTTTACTTGATTGAAATGGTCTTTAATGTATAACAAAAGATGTTCATTTTGGTCCTTTATTCCAAACCTAATATTTTTATTTTAAAAATTATTAGATTTAACTGTAGATCCCATGTCACTAACAAAATTCACCATTGTTATCTTATTTAATTTGTTATTATGAAATCTAACATCATTGTCTTTACTTCTTTAATAAAATTTACAATTTTCTCTTACTTAAAAATCTAACACTCTTTTAAATTATCTTTTCTTAAGATTTCATGACTAAGTCTCTAGCTAAGGCGACATTGTGCCTACTAATCGTTCTTTTTCGAATACATGAACAGGTGAAAGCATCGAGAGGATGACACTTTCAAAAACGTGATTAGCCACCTCGTTTTAGTTGGACAATCATCGAGTCAGCCACCTCGTTGCAGTTGAATAATCATTGAGTTTTTCACCTCATTACAATTTGACAATCATCGAGTCATCCACCTTGTTACAATGAACAATTGCGAGTCATCCACCTCATTACAATGGACATCATTGCATTTTCATTTGTCAAAAGAACCATTGCATAATTAGTTGCCCAGGAGGCCGTCATGGTACCAACATCAAAGGCGTCTGAAGGGCATCCGTAAGACACGTAAAATACTAGAGAGTATTTGAAGTGCAACTTTCCAAAGTTATAATATATATTCCACGTTGAAGAGGGAGGATGATGATGTTTGAAGGATATTTATAAGTCGCATCAATTCGGAGGTGAAAGATGTACACCTTATCTATTCCACGTTGAAGTTGGAGGAGGAAAACATTGAAGGATATTTTAATAAGTCACATCGATTCAGAGGTGTCACGACCTAACCACCGGGCCGTGCAGGCACCTACTCTAACGCCTAAGTAGGAGAACCCTCGGTTCCCAACCATTTTAAAAACATGCGAAAGACTTGAGGAAGCTAAGATGAAAACAAATTCATGGAGATTTTTATAAATTAAGAGTTTTAACAATTCAAAGTTAAGACTTATAAAGTAATTAACACCCCAGGGATCTAGTCTAAACAGTTACAGGAGCTACTAAGAGTACAAAGTAAAAACATAATACTGAAAAGACACAACTCCCACTATGTGGAAGGAAAATGGAAGCTGCTGTAAAATTGTCTTCACCTTCACCTCTGAAACATCACTGATCCTGCAACCAGACTATGCCAAAAGGCATAGCAAGAGTAGAATCGGTACAACCATACTACTGGTAGGCATCATCGGTCAACCCAAATACCCACCACATAATATGAGAAATCAACTAGCGAAACATGCAATAAGACTGTTCATTCCTCCACCTTTATATTTTCCCTACCCTTACCATTCCAAATATTATTAGCATACTTACCTATAACCCCTTACTTCATTCCCGTCTCCACTTCGCTTATAATCCCCACACCACGCCTATCGAGGCTTACTATTCGTTTTATAGTACTATCCCTTCACGAGAAAAACCCAACTATAAACACTATTACTAAACAACACCCCAAACCTCAACAATAAATAAACCGGACCACATTCTAGTCAACAAGAATAGCACCAAGTCCCCTAGTTTACCCTTACCATGACACAATCTGATTTGGGACTCTACCATTCACAATTCATTACACAAACAAATATCTCCAATTAACTTACAACATCGCAATTCACACATATGCCTATATATAACGTGCAACCCAGTTATCATGTCAGGATTCAATGCACCATTCCACATTCTCAATAATACATCTATATGTCAAGTCAATGTCCCTCTAATGGAACCCACACCCGAACTGTTAGTGTACCAGTACGTGGTACCCGATCCAAGTTAGTGTGCCAGACGTGACACCCAATCCCATGTATGTGCCGGAATGTGACACCCGATCCAAGTTAGTGTGCCAAAACGTAGCACCCGATCCAATGCATCACAACACAAGCACAAGCACATTCACAACATACAATACTCACATCATACAGTCAATTACTCAAGTTCCTGGCATGCATTATTCATAATCAATTCATTAGGTTCGTTAGTACTGTTATACTTTGCTTATGCGCATATATATCATACAACCACCCGTCAACATACATCACACAAAATAGGAAATCACAACCATTACCAAACCCTAGTTCACGAGATAGGGCTTTCTCCTATAGTATACGTCTGATGTAACACTTAGGAATATACGCATAATCAACTCTTTATTCTTATTGGTGCACGAAATCCTACGCATGAATCCTACTGTCAAATTCCAACATACTACGCAGTGAATAATAGATTTATAACTACTCAATCAATAAAGCCTAGCCTACCTGGCGTCAAGCAACTGCACAGAATTTATAGCTCCAATTCTGGTTTTTCTGGATGGCAAGACAGTGAATTTGGCCAAGAATCCACAAGTTATCGATCTCCTTATGCTAGAAATCTCTTCCTCCTTCTTTCCCAAGCCTAGAGCAGCTTTTGGAGGGTTTCTGGGGTGATTTTCGTCTAATTTAGGTGTTTTGGCGAAAAGGAGAACATCAGATTTTGCGTTATTTACATTCTCTCTCACCCATCCCCTCTGGCGGCTACTTATCCCGCTAGAGCACTGCCGCCCTAGCGGCATCTATCCCGTTTTGGTGAGATAGTGGCCCCAGTATTTTCTGACGTTTTTAGTCTCCTAATTAATGACAGTTCGGATCGTTACAATAGGTGAAAGATGTGGATCCTATCTATTCCACGTTGAAGTCGTTGGAAGCTGACATTTGAAGGATATTATAAGTCACATCAATTCGAAGGTGAAAGATGTGTACCATATTTATTTCACGTTAAAATTGGAGGAGGCTGATGTTGATGGATATTTATATGTCGCATCAATGCAGAGGTGAAAGGTGTTAACCCAATTTATTCCACGTTGAAATCAAAAGAGGCTGGCATTAAAGGATATTTGATATGTCGCATCAATTCAAAGGTGAAAGATGTGTACCTCATCTATTCCACGTTGAAGTCAAAAGAGACTGACGTTGAAGAATATTCGTGGGGCACATCACTGCCGGTGGAGGTAGTGTGAATTGCCAGGAGTGTTCAATCATATTAATTTACCAGAGGAGATAGTGTTCATCACATTATATTATCGGAAGTGGTAATGTGCATTCATATTACATTATCGGAGGTGGAATGCCCATTATCGGAGATGGTAATGTCAATATTGACATTACCAGAGATGGTAATATCCATTACCAAATGTGGTCATGTCAATCATATTACCTTATAGGAGGTGGTAATGTCTATTACCGGCGATGATAATGTCAATCATATTACATTACCTGAGGTGGTAGTGTTCATCATATTACATTATAGAATGTGGTAATGTTCATTTATATTACATTATTAGAGGTGGTAATGTACATTATCGAAGATGGTAATGTCAATCATATTACATTATCAGAGGTGATAATGTCCATAATCGAAGGTGATAATGTTCATCATATTACATTATTGAAAGTGGTAATGTTCATTATATTATATTATTAGAGGTGTTAATGTCCATTATCCTAAGTGGTAATGTCAATCATATTACATCATTGGAGGTGATAATGTTCATCATATTACATTACCAGAAATGATAATATTCATTCATATTTCATTATCGAAGGTGGTAATGTCCATAACCAAATGTGGTATTGCCATTTATATTACATTATCAGAGGTGATAATGTCCATTGCTGAGAAGGCTATTACATGTTGATCTCGTCAAAGAGAACCATTGACATTTTCCAGTGTTATAGCCGTTTGAAGGACATACGTAGGATGCATCAAATTCCATAGAGGATTTGAAGTGCAACTTGCCAATATATCCATTTTCATACCATAAACTGACAAAAGGTTGGCATTTGAAGGATATTCGCCAGTCACATTGATACCATACATGGTAATATACAAAGGTCATGGAAGTCACAACATACCGATGAACATGCATTTATATTCTATCAATGGATCATTATCATTTATCCTACTGATGGATCAACATCATTCTACCAATAGATCTTCATTCGTCCTACCGATGGACATACATATTCTACTTATGGATCATTAGCATATTTCCTACCGATGGATCAACATCATCCTATCAATGGATCCCCAATCGTCCTATCAATGGACATGCATTTATATCCTTTCAATGGATTCTCATATGTTTTACCGATGGACATGTATTTATTTTGCCAAATATCCTACCAATGAATTTTTATTTGTCCTATCAAATGGACTGACAATTATTTTGCCACCAACTCATAACCTGCTAGTGAATATTATTTGTCTTTTCAAAGAACTCACACCAAGATTCAATAATTCGACGAAGAGTGTTGACATGCATAATTTTCAAAGTAAGAATGACTTCGAAGCACCAAGAAAACAACATATCCATAAAAACATGCAAGGAAGATGTCAAAAAGTTTTGTAAGGGATGCTATCTTTTTTGAGATAAGGCACAAGACCCCCTTATACTATGACCGAAATTCCAAAGACACACCTTAACTAAACTAAGGTCCTT